CGTTCGAAGATTGAGAGATCGCCCATGCTGAGGCTTTTTCTAATGTCGCACCTCCTCCCCCCTAACAAACACACGCACGTGCATTTTCTATAAATTACACATTATTCAATAGCGCATGTTTTTTTAATGTTCCTGTTTTCTTCTTTTTAGTGGGTAATGACTAGACTTCATTATTCCCGCTTTCAATCATGACAGAGCTCATTAGAGTTTTACTAAGGTTGGTTGCCCTATCAGGAGATGGCACTTTGTTCCAAGAAGCTGGTACATGAAGAATGTCGATACAAAATGGAGGAAGTGAACCAGAAAATTGACTGGTAAATACTTAGAAAATAAAAGGGGGCCAAATTAAAAATAATTGTCGGTTAAAAAGAAGGTGAAAGAAGCTGAGACTGATATGTGGAGAATCGGCATAATTAAGAAGTCCGCACTAGAGATCTATCGAACTTATAAGCAGGAAAATGTCAAGGAAAGGATCTATGATAATACTCGAGGTAGTTCTCTACTGTTTGAGGCTAAGACGGGAGTATTGCGAACCAGGACATATCGGGCCAAATACGAAGGGGTAGACACAATATGCAGTGCGTGTGGAGAGGAAGAAACTGCCGAACACTTGATAATGTTTTGTAAAGGGCTTCCCCTATTGTTCCGGATGATGGCGCAGAGTTTTTCAAAGCACTGGGGTTTAGGGACAGGGTGGGCAAAATAGACTTTAAGCGGGTAGAATTAACTAGAAGGAGTTTATGTGATTGGTGGCTAAAGTGAAGACACGAGTGAAAATTAAACCCTCCACTGCAAAGTAAGAATCCTCAACCTCACTATTTAAAGGAAAAAAATCTAGTTTTTGGTTCATTAAGTATTACGGCTTGGTGGCGCTAGCCACCACCCGATCTAAAGGGTACAGCCATATCCATCCATCCATCCATCCATCTTGGTATCGAGAAAGTGCGTCGTAGTCTGCCAGCCTTGCCGAGCCTATCAAACCTGCTGGACAACAGAAAAAGTGTCTAGCGGAACTCTTGAGACCATTTCCGCCGTGTAGATGGGCCGGCGTTATGCGTACTGATTGCAAAAGGAAGTCGTCACCGTCTACATCGGCCCGACGTGCACAGTAGGGGGTACAACGTTTCCGCGGACTTCCGTTGGTGCTACGCCCCTATCGATGCTCCTTACGGAGTTGCTGCCTTCTGTAGCGTGTTCCTTTTTATCCAGCCCGCTGTATTCGTGAAATTATAGCCGTTGGTGGTAAGACTACAGTAGGATATCACACTGCCGAAGTTTGCATGCATTGCGAAAACTCGCATGTAACTAACCAAGTGCGTTATTACTGGCTCTCTCAGCAATTCCTCGCGCGTCTATAATAATGTAATTCGTCGTCGTTAATCTAATACTATTTTATTCTTAGGTGCTCCATCTGTTTTATGTAGATAAATAGCAAAGTTAATGTTGTTTAGTATTCCAACTGCGGGACATGAAATTCTCAAGTTTTAATGAATAGAAGCCAAGTTCACAAAATTATGGATATTAGTAGAATTTCTGGTGTGCTAGCATGACCTTAGTTGTCAACAATATTTTCTTTAGTTGTGCCTAGCTGAACTGCTTCCTGGCAGTGACACATCCTCTATTTGCCATTGCTTTAGATAACACAGTCTTACTTGACCTATGGCACTCACTTTCTTGAGCCAAGAGTTATGGTAACGACGTCTTCCGTTATGTGCGCGGATACGGTCGCAGCACCCTTTGAGATGGTGTCATTCGGAGCGAAAACTACCAGCCACATATTTATATTTTTTTATGAGAATGACTTCCAGGCTGGCTATGAAGCGATTGGTCTAGCACGTAGTACGCTGTTCTGATATTGCTGAGATATTGAGGGGCATCGGTTCCCGAAGAAAACGAGGTGACATTCCATTATAGCTAGGTCTATAGTGGGAACATCTTCATAAATATCATGATGGTATTTCCGGCTGCTACTTGAAAAAATGCATTCTTATTGTGACGTGAATTTATTTCATGAGTAAACAGCTTCAATATAGTAAAGAATCATACTGCTTAAAAGCATGTGCTATCATCATTATTATTCTTTGACACAAGGGTTGGTCTCGATGCATGAATGACGCCACGAAATGCCACTATGCTGCTGTGGCTATGTAAGTACAGATTATTTCTTTACCGGCAGCTAAATGTATAATATAGAGGTTTTAGATCGATAGCATAGTATTTAAAAACAACAACTTATCATCACTCCGTCTTTAAGGGGTTGCCATATCATACACCTATCACTGTTCACGCTGTTGAATCATTTGTTACCACTCGACTTTTCCCGCTGCCTCCACCTCTATTTTGTACTTTCCTTCTTTCCGAATGATCAGCGAGCATGACACCGACATATCGTGTTTTTATTCATGGAATACGGCGTTTTCTACACCGTATGGACGCCAACGAAACCCGAGGGCGGCTCTACTACCACCATGAAAACTTTACGAAGGCGTGTGCACGTGAAAGTGGTTTGGTTCATCGTTTCGGGCCTTATCAATTGATGTTTCAGTGTGCAAACATATAGGAAAATACATTTGTTTCTTGTTTACGTAAAACAATCTATAGCCTTGGCATTATGCCACATGAAGTATATCTGTCCTGGTAGCACCTGAAAGACCAAAACAATAACAACAACAACAACAACAACAACAACAACAACAACAACAACAACAACAACAACAACAACAACAACAACAACAACAACAACAACAGCAACAACAACGACAACAACAACACAACAACAACAACAACAACAACAACAACAACAACAACAACAACAACAACGTCCCATGAGGATGTCTTGTTAATTTGCGCACGATCGCTTCACTTCCGCACAGGGCAAGAAGACGAAGTGCAGCTGGGTGTGGACATTGAGCTGCACCTGTTCGCTGGCGGCCGTCGTCATGACGGTGGTCATTTACTTCCGAGACCGACGCGTGAGCGGGGAGGTGTACCCGGGCTACGTGGTTGAAAGCTCCGCTTTCTATGCACCCTTTCGGTGGTCCCGTAATAGCGCCTACCGGATGACGCCGGCTTCTGGCAACCTGCTCATTCAGCCACCCGAAGGCATCTGTGCAAAGGCGTTCGGTGGGGACAACAGCAGCGCTCCTCAAGAGAGCATCGTTGTGGTTGTGCACTCGGCACCACATCACTTCGAGCACAGGTATGACTTACCGGCCACGGCAGTTCAAGGCTCGATAGATGCCGAGTGCCTCGAATCGAGTTGCACCCTGGAATAGGTTCAGCTTGTAGTTAAACAGGAGAGGGAGAAGGAATAAACTTTTGTGGTCAGCAAGCGCACTCTACGCCCGAGGTTGGCGGCCTCCTTATCCATTTAGCCAGGCTGCGCTGATTCTTCGGGTCTTGGTGCAATAGCGTGGCCTCCTACTGCTCTTCGGTTATTGTTTTGGTCATGATGTTTTGTACTAATCTCCATGCCATTTATGGCATGGATTGTCCGAGACATTCCGGTACTTGCTAGTAGACAAGTGTACAATCGGTGAGGTGTGGTAAAGTAGTACACCGTGAACGTGTTTCTCTGCAGCTTCGTGAGGGTTACTGTCTCCTACTTATTTAGGCTGCCCCGCCGCGGTGGTCTAGTGGTTAAGGTACTCGGCTGCTGACCCGCAGGTCGCGGGTTCGAATCCCGGCTGCGGCGGCTACATTTCCGATGGAGGCGGAAATGTTGTAGGCCCGTGTGCTCAGATTTGGGTGCACGTTAAAGAACCCCAGGTGGTCAAAATTTCCGGAGCCCTCCACTACGGCGTCTCTCATAATCATATGGTGGTTTTGGGACGTTAAACCATACATATCAATCAATCAATCAATCAATCAATCAATCAATTATTTAGGCTGGGTTGGAGTGACGGCAAAACTATTCTACCCAGTCCTTAGCATAATAAATAGGAAGAAAGATTCAGCCAAATAGTGCAGCAATGATTTGTAGGTAAAGAAAAACAAAGAGTGGCAGCATGAACGCGTGGCTTGCGCTCTGCGGTGGCTGCCTACAGCACCACCAACCAATAAAGAAGAAAGCCCGTTCGATTTTCGCGTCATCTATGGCCAAGCAGATAACGAGTTATGGCCGCTATATAGACAAGCGCTCCTATACATTACGTTCCCTGATAGCTCGCGCGGTGAGCGATGTCGGGCGATTCCTGCAGCCTGCGCCGTGGTCGCGAACAACGTTTGATATGTTCGCAGTGTACTACGCACTGCAGGCGCAAGCAGAGAGAGAGAGAGTGCAATTTATCAGCGCTTGTCTACCGGTCATAACTCGTTATTATTTTTTTCGGCAACAGATGACGTTAAAAGTGAACGCGTTTCCTTTTGCTGTTGGTTGATGGTGCTGTAGGCAGCCGCTGCAGAATGCAGATCACGCGTTCACGTGTTCTCTTCCATAAAGGACGGCAGCTTTGGCAACGGTAAAAACAAGCCGAGACTGTCCATATCTGTGCTATCGCAATAAAATAGCAAGCTGGACTGAGCTTAATTCCACAGACTTACGCCTGACTTTATTAGGAGACACCACGCTCACCTCAGGCTTCATTACATTCGGCTACACTTACATTGGCCTAACTAGGCTCAATTAAGTTCAACTTGGCCTAACCCGACAAAGGAAAGCTGAGGTGAGAAAATTTAATTTTATGTGCTTGGCCCCACCAGGTTCTGCGATGATAGCTATAGCTTTGTTATGCTAATCAACAGCTATAAATAACGATGCGAGCTCGGCTGTGGGAGTGGCCCTGTCGCAAACGCTACGAAACAAAAAGAAAAAAAGAGGCACAAATTCAATGGAGCAAAAAAAGCGACACCCAGCTGCCATTTTGGCTACAAGCGCTGTACCCGCGTAACAGCGAGCGACATGAGGGGCCAACCGACATGACGGGACGCGCATGCGCACCGCAGCCGTCGTTTTGTCGCTAGATATAGCACGACGCCTTCGGCCAAGCGATCCCGTGGTCTGCACAGTCTTTGTCACCTCTGTACCAGTTTGGGTGACTGAACGCGTGGGTTGGTGCGTGCTTGTATAATTGTGTCATTTGCTCGTGCTTGAATAACTTTCAAACTCATAGTGCGTTGAGACTATTCGCTACATGTTAAGAACGTATATAAAAGCGTCAAAACTATTTTTTGTGGTTTAGGTCCGCCATAAGAGCGACGTGGGCCAGGGATGCCAGCTTTCCTCTGCACACCGGTGACGTCAGCGTGGACGCCCTCGTACTGTTCGCCATGGGCAGGCCCACCTCCTCACCGCTTCAGCACCAGACACAGGTCAAAATAGCCACAGAAGCGGCGTTGCACCAAGACATCATCGAGGGCTCCTTCCCGGGCACCTTCAGCGCTTCCCTGCCGCTCAACGCCATTATGCTCAAGTGGGTGTCCCTGGCATGCCCGCAAGCGAGCTACGTCGTCAAGGTATCGGATGACTCCTTCGTTAACATGCGACGCCTGCGCGATACTCTCGGAGCGGCGCAGCTTCGTACCTCTGTCATCTACGCCCATATTTACCGCAAACCTTCCGTGTGGAACGGCCACAAACTAACATTCATTAGGGACAACATCTGTGTAGCTTGCGGCTATGCAATGAGTGGCAATGCGGTGCCCCAGCTTCTTAACCGGTCTACGCACGGCGGCTTCACCAGCGTCGAACACCTCTTCTGGAGCGCTGCTCAGGACCGCGTTGCCCCGCTAAGACTCGTGAACATGCAGGCGTTCTCCACCTACTCGCGGCGAGGGCTCGGACAACTTTCCTTGTGGCGTAAGGGACGCCATTGCAAGCCACCACTTGAGCGCAGATGACATGCATGAGGCGTGGAAAGTGTTGCACAATGGCACCGCACCGTGTGCCGATAAACGCACTGAATCAGAATTACGTGATGCCTAGCATCGAGCGATACTTCAGCATATTACGCAAATCTAAGTACGATCGAAGCCATCCGCGAAACAAACAAAGCAATGCAGCTAGGGCACAAAATGACATATATTGCGTTTCTTGTTCTGCGCAGTAGGAAGTAAAATTATACGTGTTTATTCTCGTCTTGATTGATGGCTCGGCCGAATCTTTTGGGCCTCTTACGTAAATAGTGTTTGTCTAGTATGTTTACGCCACTTTCGGGCACACGTATTTTGTCTTACGATAAACGCCAAATGCGGGGGAATATTACGGCTACATTGACAATTTATGGACTTGAATCAACAGTGAATAACAAAACTTCATGCAACTGCAAGTAATGCTATGTGATGGTGATGAAGTCGAAGTTGGTGGCGTTTGTCCGAGTGAACTCACTTTATGAAGTTCTTCTACGTGCTATACCTATCCACTTCGGGATTTATGCATTCTGCACGTGCAAATACACGCAAACACATGCACGAACAAACGTAAAAAGGGCTAGAACCCCTCTTACTAACAAAAAAAAAGATTCTGGATACACATCAAGATCGAAGGACACCCAGAGACCAAATAGAAATTACTTCTTGATGTGGCATTAAACTACGTTTGTTGATTGTCGGCTTTTCATTTGTTAATAACTGCTGCCTTGTGCACACTTGAAACTGTGTATTTTGAAGAAGTCGTCATTGAGAGCTCGACAATATTGCTCGTTTTATGCTTAATCTAGTAAATATTAAACTTACACTGATCACTTAATCTTACGCTCCAGTGGTCAATCACAGTGCAGTAGGATAACACGGTCACGAATTTCCCCACAGTAACGAATGTTTTGCTATTTCCCTGTTACATGGACTTCCTTTCCCAAAACACAAGTGCACATTTCTGCCATATTATTACTTACGTTTACCATAAGTGCTTTTTACCGCAATGTACAACATTTGTAAACATGCGAACTTTTTTTGCACTTTTTGTCCTCCGTGAACCTGATCCCTTTAATGTTCCTTCGTCCGCTTGAATAGTAGAGCTTTAAAAAAAACGTCAGCGAGGCTACCACAATACTCAGATTTCATTGTACTGTGGAACACTGCAGTCGACCAAAAAAAGTTCTACATGAACGAGTGAAAAGCAGTATTTAGTCGGCACAAGCCGATTTGTCGGAGCATCGCGAGAACAATAGAAAAGCCTGAGCTCTTGCTTGGAACAGAAAGATTTTGTTACGGAACAATCATTCCCAACGTTTTCATGGCATGGGCAGACACGTGAAACCCATTACCTCGGCAAGGCAGGCTCTATTTCTAACCGGAATTTTATTTTTGGAGAAAGATGCATGAAAGAAATTTAACAAAGTGCTTGATTGGGCTGGTTGGTGCTGCGTGGTAGACGAAGAAAGTGCTTAACAGCGTCGTTTGAGCTGATAAGCACTTTTTTCGTATGAAAGAAACCGAAAATACGATCTGGTGACACAAGGAAGCGTTGAACGTCTGCCGAGGCAGGACTTCCTGAAAGGAACATTCGTGCACATTCGTGCTCGGGGTGCTTGTTTTGATAGTTTCCGGGTGTAAGGCATTAATATTTTGTGGGTTGCTGTGGTGTTCACAAATGGATTAATTCCTGAACACTCAAAATTAAATATCGGCAACTGCATGAAACGTAACTGCAATATGTGGACAACTCTGCTATGGGTAGATTGTACACGACTTCCTGAACGCGGCTTCCAAAAGAGTTGGCACTCCAAGCTAGCCGTCTTCATGAAAAACATGTTGTGGTTAATCTGACTCAATGTGATGACGACTGAGAAGAACTCCTCTGTGTGGGGCTAACGATAGAACCTGTATGCGATATTATGATACCATATTTAGACATCGCAGACGTCACTACCCCCCCATGCTGGTGCTCCGACACGGCTATTTCAGTGACATCAAATCAAGCCGTTCATTGATATTGTTCGTGAACAGCACAAGTTGTCACTCTCTGTCTCACATATTTGTGTCATATGCGATAACGTTTGCAACAATACCCACTCTCCAATACATTGTTTTAAAGCGAAAGCTGTTATGAGAGTACAATAAGGGTTGCTTATGCAGTAGGTGTCCGCCGGTGGCCGCAACCACTGACGCACGAAATGGTGAAATAAAAAAAAAATAAAAAAAACCAAGGACGCAATAGGATTCGAACCCGTGTCCTCTGCGTGCCAGCCCAGTATTCTACCACAGAGATACGCCATTTCTTTGCTTTATTGCCTGTTTCTAGACACTATGTACAGAAGTCTTTAACGAGTCATATAAACTAGATAGTCTGCCTCGGTATTTTAGCGAGGCTGATAATATTTTGATACCAAATACCGCAGAGAGAGAGAGAGAGACAGAGAGAGACAAGTTAAAACTAGTTTCGCCACAGAGCTACGTCAGTGCTTGAAACTTCATTGGAAACTGGCCTTAGGCAGGCTTAATACCAGGAAAGGAATCGCGGTAATATGAGTAATAAAGCGTTTTAGGACAGCTAAAGACCAACCAGGTGTCACATAATGCGGATTGCATAACTAGTGGGTCGTACTGTAACCCATAACAAAATCTCCTGACATAGTTTTTTATCGTCACTAACGACCGCATAAAACATTGCACAACATCTCTTGCAAGTGTGTAGCGAGTACCACTCTTCCACGAACAATGGCGAAGGATGGCATAGCGAATGGTTGCCTACTGCACATAAATTATAATTTATGGCGTATTGGCTATCCTTTAGGGGCTATGGTAGGATAAATGGTTTCTGTCTGTTTAGCGTAATATAGTAGAAATAGGTGCAAGTATTCCCCTAAAATTTCACGTGTTAACAAAAAAGTGCTCCTGAATATCAAGTGACACTTTTTTTTGCCTAGATTGCTTATCCTATCTAAGGCCCACTCTCAAAATTCAAAGAAGGTTCAATCATTCAATGTACATTTTGTCTGGAACCACCTAAAGGAAGGTAATTTTATTCAGTCGCGTTATTGTAGATACTCATAGATTACATCAAAATTAAAAAAAAGTATTACATTTTTATGAAGTTTTTGTAAAGAAAAATAAATTTGCGCGTACGCAAAGCTGCAGAGGGTGCGTACTGTCGTGTAATTTTTTACAGCTTTACTTTTACCGAAGTTAACAATTCTTTTAGTTCATTATGTTTCTATAATATTGTAGCTCCTACATACAAAGTTTTATTAAAATCAATTTATTACCTTGTGATAAAACTTACGTTGAAGTTGAAAAACTCATAAACAACGCAATTCGAGAAAAACGACGTTCTACAAGCTCATATTTCATGCGCCAGAGAGCGCACGGCGTACTTTGATGTGGCATTTAAACCTCTTAGGGCAGCCACTCGACGTGGTGCTTCCAGAGGTTTGTTCCTCAGAATACAGTGATTCTTTTTATTGTCAAAATCGCAAATTGCAATTTTTGGAATGCTTACCCTACCATAACCTGCTTGAAGTGTGGCCGCAGCAGCTAACCAAATTGTGTTATATAAAAGGAACTACGAAAGGCCACTCTACCAGCTTTCGCTGTGACAGTGCCCCACATTCCGCGCAGGCTAGGCATTTTTTTTTGGGCAAAGACTGATAGACAGCTCCATTATTTGATTAAGAATAAATGCAACAAATTTTGAATAGTTCATTCTATTTTATTTATTTATTTATTTATTTATATTTCATCGAAGAGTTTAACATGAGAGAAGGCATCCTATTTAGCTACAATGGTTTTATAGAATAAAGCAGGGAGGCTCTGGGGTTGAAGTGGAGCACATCGCCTCTGGGTAGCTTGTTCTAGTACCACGCAGCTTTTACAAAAAAAAAAAAAAGGAACGTGAGAGCGTTGGGGTCTACGCTGGTGGTCGGTACACTACTCTGGTGTGATTCGTGTGGCAGGATAGACAAATTCACAATAAGCAGACAAGACTTATGAAGCGCTAAGAGAGGAACCGTAAATCTTGTGAAAAGTCACAACCCAAATCTACGGCGTGTTAGTTCTAGCTTATGAGGATGCACTTAGTATATTAGTTTCGCAACATTAGTGCTGCATATCAGTTTGTAAACACTAGTCTGATGTACTGCTGCTGCCCCAAATTTCTTTCTTTCATTTTTCTTTCACAAATTTTTACTTTTATTTGTTTTTCTTCCTTATACTTTGGATGGATGCTCCATACGCATTTATGCCGTCAGCATCCGTGTAATTTTCCGTAAAAGGCCCAAGGGCCATAACATCCCCCACGTGCTGCATGTTTCTAACTGCGTGTGAAAACGTGCGAGGTCAGCCAGAGCTTTTGGCTCAGATCGAGAGGATACACGCCGGTTGTCTGCTATTGCGCAATTGGAGTCATGGGTACAGAAACCCTTGTCGTGGTACTTTACAGAAATGCCCCGAATTAGGACTTGCATCACTTCACCAGGAACTGCGTACTTTGATTGGGCTAGCGTGGTAGCAACCGCCCTACCTTGACAAAGGTAAGCAAGTGTCTCGCACCTTTGTACAATCACCACTTAGCTTGCGTTGAAGCGATGACAGCGTTAAAGGTGGTATCACTCCTTGCAGCACCGTATTTACCTTCGCCAGCGTCTTGTTCAGCTACGTCAGGTTGGATGCAAAAGCAGTATTGTTTGCTGTATCATTCTGTATCGGAATCACGGCCTTGCCGTTGAGGCAAAAGAAATGTTGGTTAGCATCAACTACATACCTGTAGAAACCCGTTAGTCATTTTGTTTTTTGTTTGTTTTTTTGCTCATGGCGCAGTCATGATCAGCAATGAAGGTAACAATGCAATATATATATTGCTTTCAATATAGGCATCAAATCTTTAGCAGGTTTCTTAAAAATTGAGGTGAACTTAGTCACATAAAAAATAAGTACTCGTGAGTGCTAAAAAACAAGACGCTCGCAATTATTTTTGTCTTGCTAGCTTTAGCACGACAGCGTTCAGGAGATCATCCCGCGGAAATTAGGGTTTGGTGTCGGCATCATCGGTTGAGAGCAAGAAATTGGGATTGTAGCTG